ACTTGAACGTATAGCGAAAGAAGTTTTGTAAATGTAGCCAGGATTTTACACGGCTAGTATATACCTAGACAGTATGTCTGAACAAATTAATCTATAATTCACAAGGGTAGTTACTACCATACGATTTTGAAAACTCAAGAAATATCATGTCACTGGTGTCAATTTTAGTTTAGTAGCAAGTACAATTGAAAGTTCAGAGTTGAGAAATCAGGTGTTGTTTAATTGGTTAATGGTTCTATTGATTGGCCAATCGGAGGACAGCGGCAAATGGATCTTTTCTGATGAAAAACAAGATTGATGTGTTCTGTTTCTCAGTAGCAATAGGGTCATATCAGATATAATTCAAACCCCAGCAATGGTTATTGACCATCGTTATAAAAGTATTTGGTCTATGAACTGGCAATACGTAAAGGATTTAATTGAAGAAATTCTCAAACTAAGAATATTATCCGCTCTTGTCTTCATTTTTTTTCTTTTTATATGCCCTGTGCCTTACAGATGTTGGAGATTTATGGATCTCTACAACTTTTTGATGCCTGATTGGAAAGGCCTCTAATTGAGAGATTTTGACGAGCATGGATCCACCTTTTAATTGGTGTTGTTCCCTGGTCCGCTCTGACACGTGATGATAGCAACTGTTCGGTTCCCAGTTATGTGCAAATAATGTAGGCCAAAACTCGGATAAAAAACGTAGGAAATTATAAAAATACTTATTTATAGTATAATTTCAAACAATAGATTTTAATAACAAAAATATAATTATCAAATCTCCCAAGGAAATTAATTTTCGGCATGTAATGACCCATCGATATGTCGTTAAACAAACCAAATTGAAACCAATTTACTGTCCTTGTATCTCTGTGTAATGTTTGTATTTTATTAGCACAATGTGGTCAAAAATTACGTAGAAGCAAGCGAGTCAGAGTTACTTACATGTGGTGCAAAGGAAAATAAGTTTCTTACCTCAGTACACGATACGTAACAGCGACAAAATAACATGAATCACCCTACGCCATTTTAGATTATTCTAGAAGTATATATTCTATAAAAGTGTTTTTTGTACAGCTTAGCGTGGCTCGACCAACAGCAATTCGTGTGCTGAATGTTCACACTGAAGGATGCCATTTGACTGGGTAACAGAGTACAAAGTGAGGCTAATTTGTCAGTCAGTGGTGGTGTTGGTATGATAAAAGATGGCTGAAGCAGTGAGAAGGGCGGCGATTTTTATGTTGGTGGCGTTTGTGGGAAATCAAAACGGCAGATTGAAAAAAAAAATTGATGTTATACGAGCGACGTCAGAGGAACACAAACTCATTTAACTAAACATTACTAATGATTTTTCTGCCAAACATTTACACAAGATCATTAGTTACATTATACAGCATTTGTCTCTGTTTTTATTGCCTTTAATATGTCCTGTGTGTTAAAATATCTAAGCCTTCCTTATTAAAATTTAATCAGACTCTAATTTTGTGTATAACCGCGCATTTTGTTTCAATTTTCGCTAAACCATTGTCGTTGCGGATATTTTCCGTCATTGGAAGTTTCAGCATCTCTCTGCAAACCCATATGCGAGGAGACTTCTCAGTATTCCCCTGATATGTGGCAAGACCGATATTGCCTAAGAATCTGGCAATGTTTTCTAGGCTGTTTTAATTCACAATTTAGACTCACCTAAAAAACAATAAAACAAAAAAAAAACTCGTGCATACGCGCTTTCAGTAATATTACTCAACATCCATAACTTACAATATCTATTTTAGAAGGTATAAAAATCTCCTTTGATTTTAACCTTGAGTAGGTCTGTAACGCATCCGTTGAAATTAATTGACGAGCATTCTCTGCCATAAAATGGACCGATATTACATAACATTTTAATTCTTGTTTCTTTTTTCTTTTCTAACGAATTTCTTTCTGCTAATTCTTTGCTTACCTTCTGGAATCCATAAATCCTTATCCCAATGAGACTTTGGATGTCGGTGCCAAATTTTATGTCCCCTGTTAAAATACTTCCTAGGTAGGTATTTCTGCTGTTTTCTTTCTGTCATTGTTGAATAATTCTGATGAGATGTCCGATAATTGTTTTATCCTCCTTTATATTTTATAAGTATAATTTATCATAATACCATTCCCAACAAAATCAAGTTAATTGTTATGGAGTCCTCCCCTTTTTCATATATGGACTCGACCAGTGTAGCTGAATTGCAGCCGTTAAATACCCAGAGTGAGACAGTCAGAATACAGAGAGTGAGTAGAGAGATAGTAAGAAGACTGAGATTGTGATTGAGTTGGAGGTAGAGTAATAGTGTGAGGTAACCGCTTGTAGAAGTCAGTTACAAGCACGTAGACTCTAAGGAAGTCCTACATCGAGATTGTATATATCTTTATATTATTGCTGGTAACGGCGTTCCTGGATTTACTAACAGTATTACCCTTTGTATTCTTGTGTAAATACATTTAATTTCTTATCTTTAATTCCTGCGTTTGTCATTCATTGGAGACCGAATTTCATCTCGGAATCCACAACATTAATATAACAACATTATGTACAATCATGGGATTTCCAATAATGAAATTATTTACAATTATTCTGATTTACAATTCCAATAATGCTTGTCTTACTGACATGCGATGAAGAAACTAGTGAATTGGCAAGGTGACTTTTGATAAATGCAGCAGCAAATATTTGCAACTCTTAACTATTTCCCCGCCGATTATTTTGAGAAAAATGTTTCATTTTCAGAGGAATATTTTATTTGTTTTTAATATGCAGTGTAACCCGGATATAAGAGAAACCCGGATATAAGAGAGATTTTCTCTGGTCCGAAATTAGTTCCCATACTTACCTAAACAAAATAGACCAAACCCGGATATAAGAGAAACCCGGATATAAGAGACGTCTCCGGTCCCGGCTACTCTCTTAAATCCGGGTTACACTGTAGTAAATAAGAAACTGAGGTACCTTGAAGTACCCGAGCGGTGACTAACACCTCTAGTGAATCCAATTTTTCATTATAACATCGAAACAGAAGGTGGAAAGTGACAGCGATACGAGTTTCAATTTTGATTTCTTGAAAACCGCAATTTAGTGCCATACCATTCCGAACTTAACAAGTTTTAGATGCCACGCCAGAATATTTATAGAAAACGATCCACAAACAATCAAACCGTTAGCATCTAAACGTTATAACCTTATACAATATAGACCGCGTGACTATGGATTTCGCAGAAGAGTGAAAAGCCTGGTTTAATTACACACCAAACTAAATATTATCACATTTATTTCGTTAAAAAACAATGACTGAAACTGTTAGGCGATAGAAAGGCCAATTAAAATCATGAATAAACAGACGAGAAGATAAGAAATCTGTCCTCCATGGGCACACGTAATTCGTCATTAGATATAATTTCACCAACATGGGAATCCAATTGGCAAGGTGACTTTTGATAAATACAGCGGCAAATATTTGCAACTCTTAACCACTTACCCGCCGATTATTTTGGGAAAAACGTTTCATTTTCAGAGGAATATTTTATTTGTTTTAATATAGTAAAAAAGAAACTGAGGTACCTTGAAGTACCCTAGCGGTGACTAACACCTCTACCAGATCTGTGACTTAATAACTGGGCTCGTTTCAAGTTCAGAAAAAAACATAAGAAGAATCACGATCGATGTATAAACACGTTTGTAGCTGATTTTTGAACATTATGTTTTCGACGTGTTTATCCATTCGTGTCTGAAAAAAGATCCTTCCAGTAAAACGTATATACACGTCGATGACGGGAATGTGTTAAGCATGAGTCAATATTCATCTTTATGTTAGATTAAGTGAGTCATTGTCTAAGATGTACGTTGATACATTCAGCTTTCTTATCAGGCAATGGAATTTTCTATTATCCTAGTTTCATTAAACAGATGATTAAAAAGATGTCTTTTCTTACTATACACGATCAATCATGACTGATTTCATTAAATCTTTCGAAACTAACGTATTTGTATACGACGTAATGGAACACAGAAATGTCTTCATCATGTATCATTTTCATTATGAATGCTTTGAATTAGGATAGATTTTTCAATACAATACTTTTATTTAATCGTGCCCGGGTTTGGTTACTGCTTAAAATGAATAAATATTATATTAAAAAAAAAAACAAAAAAAAACACACACACTCACAAAAAATACATCATAAGAGATAGCAGTGTTTTATTCAATACATTAAGAAAAATTAAAGTGATTTATCTGGTCAGACAATGCGAACCTCCTGAGACTGTTAACCTGTTAAATCGCTTATCGAAAAACATATACACACAAATGTATATATATGTGTGTGTCTCTGTGTGTCTGTCTATATATATATATATATATATATATATATATATATATATATATATATATATGTGTGTGTGTGTGTGTGTGTGTGTGTGTGTGTGTGTGTGTGTGTGTGTGTGTAATGTCTGGTCCTTACTCCCTCCTCCTCAATATTAAGTATTGTATTAAAATTGAAAATAAATTCTAAAACTCTCTCTTCTCTCTCTAATTTCGACCATGTCTCTCACACTATCCCTCATTACACTCTCTGTCGCCTTATATAAGATTAATACTGCCCTTCAAACGTGTAGATTTTAATTTCATTTTTTAAAACTTGAACGTGAAGTCTGAAGATCCAGAGAATAATAAATTCTCTGGTGAAATAAATTATTACAATGGTAACTTTAAGTGGTCTGATTTTTCTTTAAACTATATATATATATATATATATATATATATATATATATATATGTGTGTGTGTGTGTGTGCGCGCGCGTGTGTGTGTGTATGCGTATTTATGCATTGTTACATTAAAACATGTAAGTAACGACTATATAATTGTACATTTTGTTTCGACATTGAATGAGCAACGTCACATCAGGTATTTAAAAATGATGGCAATAAACGATTTTATTTAAAATTTCATTTTATGAAACTTCACTTCATATTCTGTTTTTGGAAAATGTTCTATACGAGGTAAAAAGGAATTTTGATAAAGAAAGGAAAGAAAATAAGAAAGGAAAAAGAAATGAAAGGAAAGAAAATAAGAAAGGATAAAGAAAAGAAAGGAAAAAGAAAAGAAAGGAAAAAGAAAAGAAAGGAAAAAGAAAAGAAAGGAAAGAAAGGAAAAAGGAAAGAAAGGAAAGAAAATGAGAAAGGAAAAAGAAAAGAAAGGAAAGAAAATAAGAAAGGAAAACGGAAAGAAAGGAAAGAAAATAAGAAAGGAAAAAGAAAAGAAAGGAAAGAAAGGAAAAAGAAAAGAAAGGAAAGAATATAAGAAAGGAAAGAAAATAAGAAAGGAAAAAGAAAAGAAAGGAAAGAAAGGAAAAAGAAAAGAAAGGAAAGAATATAAGAAAGGAAAGAAAATAAGAAAGGAAAAAGAAAAGAAAGGAAAGAAAGGAAAAAGAAAAGAAAGGAAAGAAAAAAGAAAGGAAAAAGGAAAGAAAAGAAAGGAAAGAAAATGAGAAAGGAAAAAGAAAAGAAAGGAAAGAAAATAAGAAAGGAAAAAGGAAAGAAAAGAAAGGAAAGAAAATGAGAAAGGAAAAAAAAAAGAAAGGAAAGAAAGGAGAAAAAAAGAAAGGAAAAAAAAGAAAGGAAAAAAGAAATAAGAAAGGAAAAAAAAAAGAAAGAAAAGAAAGGAAAGGAAAAAAATAAGAAAGGAAAAAAAAAAAGGAAAGGAAAAAAAAAATAAGAAAAAAAAAGAAAAGAAAAAAAAAAGAAAGGAAAAAAAAAGAAAGGAAAAAAAAAAATAAGAAAAAAAAGAAAAGAAAGGAAAGAAAATAAGAAAGGAAAAGAAAGGAAAATAAAAAGGAAAAAAAAAGAAAGGAAAAGTAAAAAAAAAAAGGAAAAAAGAAAAGAAAGGAAAAAGAAAATAAGAAAGGAAAAAAAGGAAAGAAAGAAAAAAGTAAAAAAAAAAAAAGAAAGAAAAGAAAAAAAAAGGAAAGAAAACAGAAAGAAAAAAACAAAAGGAAAAGAAAAAGAAAGGAAAGAAAGGAAAAAGAAAAGAAAGGAAAGAAAATAAGAAAAGAAAACGGAAAGAAAGGAAAGAAAAAAAAGAGAGGAAAAAGAAAAGAAAGGAAAGAAAGGAAAAAGAAAAGAAAGGAAAAAGAAAAGAAAGGAAAGAAAATAAGAAAGGAAAAAGAAAAGAAAGGAAAGAAAGGAAAAAGAAAAGAAAGGAAGGAAAATAAGAAAGGAAAATAAAAGAAAGGAAAGAAAATAAGAAAGGAAAACGGAAAGAAAGGAAAGAAAATAAGAAAAAAAAGGAAAAGAAAGGAAAAGGAAAAGAAAGGAAAGAAAATAAGAAAGAAAACGGAAAGAAAGGAAAGAAAATAAGAAAGGAAAAAGAAAAGAAAGCAAAGAAAGGAAAAAGAAAAGAAAGGAAAGAAAATAAGAAAGGAAAAAGGAAAGAAAAGAAAGGAAAGAAAATGAGAAAGGAAGAAGAAATGAATGAAAGAATATAAGAAAGGAAAATGAAAAGAAAGGAAAGAAAGGAAAAAGAAAAGAAAGGAAGGAAAATAAGAAAGGAAAAACAAAAGAAAGGAAAGAAAAAAGAAAGGAAAACGGAAAGAAAGGAAAGAAAATAAGAAAGGAAAAAGAAAAGAAAGGAAAGAAAATAAGAAAGGATAAAGAAAAGAAAGGAAAGAAAGGAAGGAAGGAAAATAAGAAAGGAAAAAGAAAAGAAAGGAAAGAAAATAAGAAAGGAAAAAGGAAAGAAAGAAAAGAAAGGAAAAAGAAAAGAAAGGAAAAGAAAAGAAAGGAAAGAAAATAAGAAAGGAAAAAGAAAAGAAAGGAAAGAAAGGAAAAAGAAAAGGAAGGAAGGAAAATAAGAAAGGAAAAAAGGAAAGAAAAGAAAGGAAAGAAAAGAAAGGAAAGAAAATAAGAAAGGAAAAAGAAAAGAAAGGAAAGAAAATAAGAAAGGAAAAAGGAAAGAAAGGAAAGAAAATAAGAAAGGAAAAAGGAAAGAAAAGAAAGGAAAGAAAATGAGAAAGGAAGAAGAAAAGAATGAAAGAAAATAAGAAAGGAAAATGAAAAGAAAGGAAAGAAAGGAAAAAGAAAAGAAAGGAAGGAAAATAAGAAAGGAAAAAGAAAAGAAAGGAAAGAAAAAAGAAATGAAAACGGAAAGAAAGGAAAGAAAATAAGAAAGGAAAAAGAAAAGAAAGGAAAGAAAATAAGAAAGGATAAAGAAAAGAAAGGAAAGAAAGGAAAAAGAACAGAAAGGAAGGAAAATAAGAAAGGAAAAAGAAAAGAAAGGAAAGGAAAGAAAATAAGAAAGGAAAAAGGAAAGAAAGGAAAAAAGGAAAAAGAAAAGAAAGGAAAGAAAATAAGAAAGGAAAAAGAAAAGAAAGGAAAGAAAGGAAAAAGAAAAGAAAGGAAGGAAAATAAGAAAGGAAAAAGAAAAGAAAGGAAAGAAAATAAGAAATCAATAAAAGGAAAAGAAACAGGTAGGGGGAAAAAAGGTAAAAGAAAGCCTAAGGATTTAACCCTACGACCAGGAAATTAGAAATATATGAATATATAAGCGTGTATGTGTCTGTGTGCGTGTGTGTGTGTGTGCATCTGGGCACATGTGCGTGTACACAGTGTAAGCTATCAGATATAAAGAAAAATGTATCTATATCGATGTGTTTCCTCTCTTGAAATTTTTTCATATCTCCATATTTTCGTATCCAAACGGAAACAAAATGGACTTTAAAAATGCATTTTTATTTGTTAATCAGACTTCAAATTTTGACGAAGATTGATTTTTTCTTTAATTGCCGAACAACTCATCACACGAACAAATTATTTTATTCACTTTGTCATAGATCTTTGACATATATATGTATATTAAGACATTTTTATATTTAGGCATTCTTTTTTATAGATAAAATATTAAAGTAAATGCTCTGTTTATAATAAACAGTATTAACATCATTTACCGGCCTTAATGTCCGAGAAACCGTCATAGAAAATATGCATCCTCCGACAGGAATCGAACCTGTATCCCAAACGGAATCCGCCAGGCAATAATCTAAAGGGTGCATGCGTGTGCAGAAGCAAATGGAGGACATTTTGAACATTTGATATGAGCCGTGTTGAAGGAAAATGATAGCTTTTAGCTCAAATATTTATTCTAGTTTTTATTAAAACTTCATCAGAGAATAATAAGATATGGAGAAAAATAAGATTCTGTTATTTTTAATTTTATGTTGATTGATTTTCATTGTTTAAAGCGGTTCCACCTGCAATCGACTTGTTACGTAAAGATTAGTGTAAGTTACAGCGTTCCGAATTCAAGGAAGACAAGGCACGTTCTTTTGAAGTTCCAAGAAATCATTGGTCGCCAAGCCTAACGAAAAATCCGCAAATATTGTCCTATGTACTATGTAAGTATATAATAATTCTAGTTTGTTTATAATGAAAAATGCACATTTGAACGGTGTGTTTGTGTTCATGTATGTCTATTTGTCGTCTAAGGTAAGTTTTCCTTCTGTTTATACATACATGCACACACACACACACACACACACACACATATATATATATATATATATAAAATCCTGTGAAATCAGTTAAATACATATAACAAGAAACATTCGTGGATTTCTCACTTGATCGATTTGAACATGAACTTTGTTGTCCCGGCATCGAACGAACCAAAACATATATTCAACTATCAATAAATATCATAATTCAAAAGATAAAGCTTTCGGTCTAGACATCGTTCGTGTTAATATTTACCTATATATAAGAAATTTATGCCTTGAAGATGACAATTTGAAATTGTCGAAAGTGCTTGGCAGAAGTCTTCCATCTGAGAACAACTCGAATCTAAACATCTTATTATCGAAAGAATTGATATTAAGTTAATATCAAATTAAATTCTGTTAGAGAAGTCATTTCGCTATTAATAATATTAACATTGCTATTTCATTCTTTTTATATTTTTTTTGATCTATATATATATATATATATATATATATATATATATATATATATATATATACAGTAATCTATACATATATAAAATGCAGAATGTTTGTGTGTGTGTTCGTTTATATGTTTGATCGGATCTCCTACATTTTTCAACCGATTTCAACCAAATTTGACCTAGTTACTGCTAATAGTCCTGCAGAGGTTTTGACGGCGCCATATTTGATTTACGTCAATAGGCAAAACAATATTATCGATTTTTCATTTTTGATCCTAGCGCAATTATGTGCGTTCACTCCACACAAGCAGATATGGGGACTTTTCATATCAGAATGAATAGTGGTAGCATAATTAGAAAAAAATCGGATTTAAGTGCTTATATGGGAATAAGAAAAGACAAGAATGGCCACATTCAAGATTTCTGTCGCAGTCGAACTTTGCGCTCCAAAAGCCAATCGGATTAGTGTTATTATTCACGAGTGGCTCGCGCGATGTGCAATTCTTGCTGCTGATTGGCCCATTCACGCTCTAGAGTAATGCGAGATCATCTGTGAGCGGCGGGTGTCACGCGTGCGCGTATCAAGCATCCCAAATGGAGTAGAGGTTTCAGGTAGCCTACTTTCATTTCAGGATTTAACACTCATACCATGGTTTTTAAAAAGGGCTATTTAATGTTTCAATGCAGGCATGCATTACTTTCCATGTTTTCTGCACTTGCACAGTAAAGTAAATGTCAAGGCCATTTTAAAAGCGATTTACTGAGCTACATGTCAAATTTTACCAGAAAAATCAGTAAAAACAAAGTGAAATTGATGCATTTTAGGTGTTTGTAGCCCATTTAGCCTACTAAAGTATAGGATTGAATTCAGTTTAATCCAAGTGGAAAGAATCGGATCCCACCAATTGTCCAATTCGTCCAAGTTTTCACGTTTGATTGCATTTTTTTCATTCGAAAAGTTCAACCGGCCAACCGCCTCTTTATACCATAACTGGCACGCGTGTTCCCACTTCTGAGATTACTGTCCCGCACTTGGCTCACTTCATTCGCTTCTTACGGAAACAGAAAGTTGTTGATAACGTATCCGAAGTTTGTTTTTTTTTTTTTACTTCTTACTTATAACTACATCCGTTTCCGCGTTTATCGAATTTACTTCCCAAATTACCTACTACCGTTTTAACTTTAGTTGAATTTTTTAAACTTCACTTTTTTTTGTCTTCGATCCGCTTTTGATAGAGTTACATACATTTTGGAGATCCCTCTAAACTGCCTACGTTTAGACTATACGTATTTTTTGCACTCAAAAAAAAATACATACCTTTTATTGCGTTTGCCTTTTTAAAATTGGTTAAAATGCCGCCTAAGAGAAGAATACTTTTTAGACGGCGCACGGCTTCTACCTCCGATACAAGAGCAGCAAGGTCAAACCACAGAGCAAACTTGGTTGCGCCTTTCTCAGATGGTCTCACGCTCTGCTGCCCGCATCTCCACGGAAAGTACCGCTGAACGGACTTGTTATAGACAAGCGTATGTGTGCAAGAAAGAAATACGACAACAGTAGAAATAGATTTACGTGGTTTATTTCAACAGGAACGTGAGGGTTTGGGACAGCTACCTTGGTGTGGTAAAGTTCATAAGCCGGCTTTCGGATCTAGGTCGATCTCTCATAGTAGTTCACACATGTTGACGGTGGTTGATGCTCTCCTGCTGCTGATCGCTCGGCCTGAGCGTGACAGGTCTGTTTAGCGGCCACCTGTGGACTGACTGTTGAACTTCCGTGTGACCCCTTTTATAGCGTTTTTTATGTCTTAACAGGCTCGAAAAACGAAGCGAGTATAATTAGGAGGGAAGCATTTTTATTGGACGAAAAATAGAGCACTCTAAATATTATTTTATTTTTCGACCGGAACACGTGTGTCGGGAACATTTGTAAAGAAGGATAATGGTCATTTTGTGACTGGGCTTTGTCCCGTTTACATCCGGTTCTCGCTCTTGAGTATTTGCCTGTAAATCAGCCGAGATATGTCTTATTTTATTTTATAACAGACTGAAAGGCTGGCATCAGTAGCATAAGTTATGTCATCACGACGCGCTAGACTTTCAACTGAAGAGCATTTAGTACAGAATTTGCAATACGCGTTTCTTGCACCAGGGCTTCCGAGTCCCCAACACAGAAAATCCTTCGGTGTTTAAGGAATGCCAGCGCTACAGCATGTTCTAGAGCTTTAGAAAGCTCTGAACAAATCACTTCGCGTCGGCTTAGTAATGCTAGGGCTACAGCATCTTCCAGGATTTCAGAACAACCTCAACAAACCGCTATTCGTCGTTTAAGAAATGCCAGCGCTACTGCGTCTGTCAGAGCTTTAGAAAGTCCTGTGCAGACTGCTAATCGTCGTTTGAGGAATTCCAGATCTACTGCGTCTACCAGAGTTTCAGAAAGCCTTGGGGTACGGTGATCACGGCTCAACAACAATGGCCAAATCGCAAGGACAGATGCTTAGCGTCGCGGGTCTGCATTTAGGTGGACAGTGTTTCGCCCATGAATAGCTGTATGTAGGCTGCTCTCGAGTCGGGAGTAAAGATAACGTTTACGTTTACGTTTACTCTCTAACAAACAAAGCTAAAATATTACCTACGCAGAAGTCCTATAGCCCATGGTCGGTCACGTTTAAACGCAATGTACAAATTTTTATGTCGGCTGCAACGTAGGTTCCTTCATTTTTTAACCTGGTTTATTTAAAGGTCGTCGTAGTATTCACTTGCCATTATTAAGACGTTTCGTTAAAGGTTGTCTTGCTCAACAGATTCTCCTTTATCACTTAAACCCCACCATAGCTGCATTCGCTCTTACATGTCGACCACGTAACCATATTCGTTTGCAACACAAAACCAATACGTGGGAAGATGGATTCGTTTAATTGTCAGAGAAGTGGAGAGTCCGTCCACGCAATTCAGGCTTCAGTAAAAAGAAGTGGGGTAATAAAAGAATAGCTGCATGCAGTGTTATAATATGCCTTCTCTGCCGTACACCGTTGATGTGTTTCTCCCCTTATAAGAAGGGCTGCTTTAGGTAACGCTACATGCGCTTCATGCTCGCCTCAACTGGCTGTTGAAAATTACAAAAAAAAATTGTGCCAGTTACAAGTAGTCGCCCCGTCACATTCCCATACTTTTGTTATGTTGTTCTTTTGCGGGGAAAGAACGCTTCTATTTTTCACACTGTTGCGTTTCGCTACGTTGCCACTGACACAGAGCGTCATCTAATATCTTGCATTCAGGGACAATAAAACCATCCCATCGGAATACAAAGCCATCTGCCACAACTCACCAAAAACTTCCTAAGGTCTGTGTTCGTATTGAACTTGACAACTTTTAATTGGAGATGTCTTAGTAAATGCAAACGGCTGATGATACAATGGCTGTCCATTGCTTCTTTTTAAGTCTTACAATTCTTTCTTCCGTTGTGCTGATGAATACCGACAGCTTGTGTACATTACGTTTTTTTTACGTGGACGGCCATCAGTTCTACTAGACTTCAGCCTTACATGCGTGTACAAAATGAGTATGGCGGCTATGACCTTCAATTCTGAGGAATTTTACTCCCGGGCAACGCCGGGCTTTACTGCTAGTAATAAATATACCACTAGTAGCATAAATCTGAGTTTGATATATATATATATATATATATATATATATATATATATATATATATGTGTGTGGTGTGTGTGTGTGTGTATCTGTGTGCCTGTGTGTGAGAGAGAGTAAGAGACGGGGTGCGGTTGTGCGCACGCGCGTAGAGGGAAGACGAGATCGAGAGCGAGAAAATAACTATGAGAGAAAAAGTGAAAAAGAGGACGACAGCTTCGAAGATATTTTTCATATTCCTATCAAACCATTATTGGAATTTTTCATGTCGCACATTCAAATTGAGTTCATTGCCCACGTATATGTGTCATTTTTCATTTGCCATGTCAGACGAAATAAATCTTTAAGTAGTTTCCTCTATGATAATGCTATTGCCAAAATGAATTTAACATAGATTTGATAATTGTCTGAATTGTCTTCATGGAAGACAGAAAATATAACATCGTTTGAACAATGTCAAGGTTTTATTCAATAAATCACAAATCACAAAAAATATCGATAATATCATTTACCTACCTACCTATATGTCTACCTAAAACGTGCCTACCCATCTATCTATCTATCTATCTATCTATCTATCTATCTATCTATCTATCTATCTGAGCATGTATATTATCTATCTATCTATCTATCTATCTATCTATCTTTCTAAGCATGTACATATCTATCTCTCTAACTGGGCATGTACATAGGTATCTATTTATCTCATTGAAAATGCAAATTATCTATCTATCTATCTATCTATCTATCTATCTATCTATCTATCTATCTATCTATCTAACTGAACATGTAAATTATCTATCTATCTATCTATCTATCTATCTATCTATCTGAGCATGTATATATCTCGCTAACTGAGCATATTCATATCTATATATCTCACTGAAAATTCAAATTATATATATATCTATCTATCTATCTATCTATCTATCTATCACAGTTTATATATGTACATATCTATATATACATAGATATGTACATGCTTAGATAGATAGATAGATAGATAGATAGATAGATAGATAGATAGATAGATACATGCTCAGATAGATAGATAGATAGATAGATAGATAGATAGATAATATACATGCTTAGATAGATAGATAGATAGATAATATACATGCTCAGATAGATAGATAGATAGATAGATGGCTATCTATTTATCTCATTGAAAACGCAAATTATCTATCTATCTATCTATCTATCTATCTATCTATCTATCTATCTAACTGAACATGTAAATTATCTATCTATCTATCTATCTGAGCATGTATATATCTCGCTAACTGAGCATATTCATATCTATATATCTCACTGAAAATTCAAATTATATATCTATCTAACTGAAGATCTATCTATCTATCTATCTATCTATCTATCACAGATTATTCTGGATATATCTATCTGTATGTCTGCCCATCCATCTAACTGAGCACGTAAATATCTATCTATCTATCTATCTATCTATCTATCTGTCTCACTGATAATGCAAATATGTATCTATCTGTATAAGTTTAATAAAATTAGGAGATCAGCCGATTCCGCTACCTTTCGGTAACTTCAGGCGGTTTTAATGAATTGCTTTCCTCACGTTTTATTTTTTTTTTAAGTTTTAATGAAAGCTATAATAAATATTAAAAATAAATATATAACGTCAAGACGTGAGATGTTATAGAATGGGAAGAAGAGGATAAGAAAAGTAAGAGTATTGGTAATGTCAGGGGTGGGGTTAACAGAAACGTACATACTTCCTTTTCATCCAACTAAAAAGGAAATTTTTAGTATGTATGCAAAGGGGCTCAAATTCTCATCTCTCATTCAAATGTTTTCTTTTCGGTCTGGAAATATTATTATACCTAACTTTTCTTGTTGACAATGGTTGCAGATATTACGCTGGTTGATGTAAGATTTTTATTATTTTTTTGAAATATCCAGTTTACAATCGGA